GTCGTTAACTGACCTGTAGGGCTGCAACAAACGATTATTTGGATAATCGATTAATCGGATGGGGTCTCGACACGATTAATCGATTAATCGGATTACATAGGGACATTTTTAAAAACTGCCAGGGAAACGTTATTTCTCTCCTTCCTTCACTTTATTAAACACAACATTATTAGAAAACAGTTCAATAGCAGAAAAACAACATGCCATCACCTAAATTGTCTTATAAGGTGTATAGACAGAGACCCTAAGCTACATCTATCTGTGACCTAAAATGCTTGGTCCAAATTAAACAGCTTAAAGAGCAAGTCAACCCCTACCAGAGTCTAACTCCACTCCCGCTTCATGTTTGAAAAATGCAACACATGCTGTTGCCTGGCAGACCGAGAGGGCGGAGACGCTAACAAATACACACACACTCAGGCTCACGACAGCATTGTGACATCATAATGTACCAGTTTACATCATAGCATACTTCTTAGCCAATAGCGGTGGCAGATTTAAATTAAAATACAGTGCAGAGTTTTTACCTGACAACGGCACAACTCTGCCAGTTTTAGGCAGAATATTCAAATTTGAACTAAGATGCACTGAAGTGCCAAATTATTGACGACACGTGTCTGCAGCACGATTAGACACTCGTTTATTTAGTTTATCAGCAAAAAAAAGTTTATTTGGGGGTGACTTGCTCTTTAAGGGCAATTCTCATCTGTTTTGTTTGATCTCATCTGTAGACATTTATTATAATTGGGGATGTCAAACAACTAATTTTTAAATGTAATTAAACATAGGCTGTGAATTAATCAAAATTAATCACTATTTCCAAAAATGACTGAAAAATACCAAATAAAACAAAAGTAAATGAATGCCATCCTCCTTGCGATGATGCCCTGGGCAACTGCCATAAAGTCACATCAAGAAAAGCTGCTGATCATTCCAATGATCCCAAATAGACTCACATTAGGCCACATGAAAGCAACTGAACCCAAAAATATATTAACCAGTATATAACTGCACTCTCACACAACACGCCTGCAGCAACAGTTAGGACTCCTCCCTCCCTTTTAAAAGCGTTTTTGCTTCTGAGGACATTGTGGTTGTAAAACCACATGCTAGTAGTCTGGCCCCGGTGTGATCAACCAGTTTCTGCGGGAATGTGACGGCGGAACCGGTTCGCAGCGGCGCGAACCCACCCCCCCGACTATCAAATAGCGTCGCGCTTACAATTTTATAGACTTTTTTTACGAGCTTAGGGCATGTCTAGCCTGTGTAATAATCTGGGGCTTGGGTGAATCACTTTTGAAAAGTTTTTAACTTACCCGGACACCGAGCTCTCTCCTTCCTCGCTGATGATTCTGACATGCTTGCGTTTAAGACGCTGCATCATCACCGTAGTATCCCCGTGCCATGCTAAGTCTGACCTACAAACGTTGCATGTCTTCGCCTGATTTAACTGAAAATGCTCCCAAACTTTAGAAGTTTTAACTTTTTTGGGGTCTCGCTGCTTCTGCCATGTTCCTCTTACAAACACCTGCCGGCTCTCCACCGGTCTGCGCGCAACGGCGGGCGGGAGGGGAGGGGGCTTTTGGAAGAGTTGCGCAACACAACGAATCGATGACGCAATTCGTTGCCAACGCTTTTAGTAATCGATTTTCATCGAATTCATCGATTCGTTGTTGCAGCCCTACTGACCTGGTCTTGGCTTGGGGAACATTTAATTTAGAGGAAATTAGGAACTTTTCATGAAGGAACCCTGTGTGCATTAACTGGAAGCACTCATTAGGTAACTTAGTGATATCTAATGTTAGATTTAGATTCATTTATTAATATTGTCATTTAGGTCAGCCAGGTCAGATCTACGTCACACTGATGACCGGTGAAGGCTGTTATTGGTTTATGGTGCATTCATGTGTGGGTCGGCCCAGTCTGATCTTGGTTGGATCAGCCCGCTTCCGCGCGGCCCGGTGTTGTTCACACAGCCTTCTCAGGAGCGTGGATGTCTCCTCGCATGTGGGAGGGGCAAAAGACACGTGGAGAGCTCCATGGTGTCCTCCTTAAGTTAGTAAACAAAGGTGGCTGTGAGCAGTGTTGCTTTTGAAGACTCTGACATGTTTATGTTAATGTTTATTCATTTAGCAGACGCTTTTACCCAAAGCGACATACAATTGTTAACCTATAGGGCATGTTGCGATCTGTGGGGGAAACCGGAGTAACCGGCGGAAACCCACACACTCATGCATGGGCGGAACATGCAACTTCACGCAGAAAGACCACAGTTGGGTTTTGAACCTGCAACCTTCTTGCTGCGAGACAACAGTGCTAATAACTGCGCCACCATGCAGCCATGCACCCCAACATGAAGCACACAGCTTCCTACTCTTTCACTGACCAGCGGTGCTGCCATGGTCTCCTCTCAACGAGGCTCACTCTCATAGGTAGGTGTGAACTTCAGCCGGCCAATCAGTCAGCAGTGGGTATTTTGGGTTGGCTCCACACCATGCTGGAAAACATTTAGATCATCCAGATGTGAACACAATTACCCAACCAGGGCTAGGCCTGGCTGTCCCAGATGTGGATACACAATTAGTGGAAAGAGCAAAGCATGTCTCAATGAGTAGAAGCTAACCATTAGCAATAGTAATTCCATCACACAGGACTCCTCCAGGCTTCTATTTGTGGAGATAAAACAACTTTCCAGAGAAAATGGAGTCAGACAGTGCGGTTGCATGTGCGCTCACCAGCATCTAAGTAGATCCAGGTCGAGCGTAAATAAAACTTACTTGTGTGTGACTTTCAACTTGCAAGTATTAAGTTTGGTCAAATGTTTCTCGTAGGTCAACTATATAAGCAAGTGGCATGGATTCAGTCACAGCAGAGCATTTGAAATATGCTAGTCCCAGGCTTGCTCCCTTATTGACAATCTGTTTTACTGGATTTATGTCTCACAGCATACTTCCTAATACAATGATGACCACATTGCTTGTTCCAGTTATTAAGGAAAAGGAGGGAAAAGTTGGTTGCCTAGACAACTATAGACCCATTGCATTGACTAGTGTTTTATCTAAGGTCATGGAAAGAATCCTCTTGGATAGAGTAAGTGAGTATTTATTTTCCTCTAATAATCAGTTTGGTTTTAAGTCCAAGCATGGTACAGACATGTGTGTCTATGCTCTTAAGAAAATAGTGAATCTATATAGCTCAAACTTTTTTTACTATTCTCATGAGTTTTATTGATGTCTTCAAAGTGTTTGATCGAGTGAATCATAAAAAGCTTTTTACTAAATTAAAGCAAAGGGATGTGCCTCGAGGTGTTGAGAGAGTGCTTGCCTATTGGTATGCCCACCAGAATATGCATGTTAAATGGGGTGGGAGTATTTCTGATCACTTTAGTGTGTCCATTGGGGTAAGGCAGGGTGGAAATGTATCTCCTGTTTTGTTCAAATTATATGTTGATGAGCTATCTGTGTGTCTGAGAGCTTGTAACACAGGCTGTTTGATAGGTGATGTTTTGATTTGATTATTTTTTCTTTTATCTGTATGTTTCTTTTAAAATGGACTGGCATTTAAGTCTGGCAATAAACATATTATTTTATTATTATTATTATTATTATTATTATTATATATGTCAACAGCTAAATATTCATCTGGGACAACATCTCAGTTTGTTTTTGACTGACTACCTTTACTCTGTAAGAAGATAACCCACAAAAACAAATCTATCTCTATTTCTGATCATTCTGGTTACAAGTTTCGTTTCTACTTTTGCAGTTTTTGATCAGCAACACCTTGTCTTGTTTTATATTAAAGACTTACTCGTTTTATTTGTTTATCTGCCACGGGTTTAATGCATTAATATTTGCATACATCCAAAGTGATTTAGCTTCTTCTTTCACTGACTGAGAAGTTTCGTGCTGCCGGTTGTCTATGACACATCCTGAATGTAGACAGTATTAGCACAAACATCTTTCCTTAACATTGCTTATCTAAAGCTCTGTTTTCCATTCAGGATAAATCTACATAGATGAATGCAAAGCCAAATGCACTTAATGTCAAACTCAGATTACTTAGGAGTGCATGTTGTTTTGCTCATACACCAGCTCAACATATTAAAATCAATGGATGACTGCAAATGCAAAGACATTTTAAAATTATGCAGCACAAAACTCAACACCTGCACCTTGTTTTGGAAAAAAAAAATATGCATGAGAAAGAACGCCCAGTTATCCTCGTTACAAGTAGCTGCCGGCCTGGCAGCAAACTTCTTCTAGCAGTAATCTTGAAATGAATTTCTCCAAATAGTATGCTGAACTTAAGCTTACCTTTCCAGCAGAAAACCGGTGACAGAGGTGTTCTGTGGGGAGCCCAACCTTTGCGCAGGAAATGAAAACTACCCATTAAAGTACGACAACGGCCTTGCGTGAAAGGTTCACCAGAGTGATTGACAGTTAAGCAGACCAATGGTTCAGATGATCCACCCGGAAGAAAAAGATCCTTTGCTTTACCTTTAAAGAAGGTTTTGCATAAAGATTCAAACTTGCTTTAGTGATAGACTTAAAATTTGGTCATTAAAAAATGTATTAAAAGTATTAAATGAAAGGCATTTGGGTTGGTGTTCAAATGTGCAGCTCACATGTATTTTATGGAAGAAACTCAAGAATTTGTTTAGGACATGCACAACCAAACAATATCACTTTAGATGTGTGTTGTGTCCAAATGAAGAAACAGTAGAGCTATCCCTTTTATGTGATTGTTTTCTGTTCTGTTATGCTCCTAGTTGGTTCACAGCTAATTCAGATAGTGGGAATGAAAAATATTTCATGACTACAAATGTTTCAGCAAGGGTCCTAAAAATCCTTTGAAGCTGGCAAACCTTAGATTTAGAAACTGGAGAGAAAATCTTTGTGAAGGATTTGCAAACTAAGCAGTTCTGTTGTTGTTTTTCTGCTCACCCTCATTAGTTTATCAAAGACTTACCTGTTCCTCCTCACCTCTTTTCCCCGCAGCATCGCAGTGGGTGTGGGTTTCTATGGCAACAGTGAAACCAATGATGGTGTTTATCAGCTGACCTACTCCCTTTACAACGCCAATAACTCTCTGGGAGGTGTCGACAGTCTGGTAGGTTAAACACTACGTCCTGAAAGCCACCACAATGGGTTAAATTGCTTCTGCATTAGTTTGTTAGATTGAATCATATGCTGTATTGCATTTTACATATATGTGAATAGTAGAAGCAGATAAACCAGTGAAGATCTATTTACAGACTGAAACAAAAGACGAAAATGAAGCAACCCAAAGGACTCCATTTAGTTTGCCTTTAAATGTTTTCTGTGGTTTCTTTGCTGCTTTTACGGCAGCACACAAATTGACAGCCTCTCGACACAAAATGAGCTCTCCTCTTGGACAGACCTCCATGTCTCTCAGTCGTGGCCTCAGAGGAAAGCGAGGTGTTGAGCTCAGTTTCCTCACTCTGTGTGTGCATGTGTATTTGTATGTGTGCATGTGTGTGCATGTGTGTTTGAATTTAGCTCATGTTGCACATTTCTCAGCAATGATGGTACGTAATGTTTTCAAATGACTCATTTCAGACGACTTTTTTTTTTGAGTTGTCACTAATGCAAACACATCTGCATTGCGTTTCAGCAGTCTCACACCCCAGACCAGCAGGTGGCAATAATGTGCAACTTTAACAATAATTTACTCAAGAGAAAATGAGAAGAACAGTTTTGAGATTCATGGACTATAAAAAATGTGTTTCTATTAGCAATGGGGTTTTTTGCGTCTTCTTTTTTGGCACCACTTTTTAGTTGAGTTTAATCATTACAAACATACTGTAGCCAGAAATAGATAGAGTTGCCAAAGATTGTTCTCAGGTAGTAAAATATTTTCTTGACTCTAATCCTCAACTGGACTGACATTGCTGTATTCTTAGTAGCCTCATGTACTAATTCTATGAAAATTAAATAAATTCTCTTAAATTTTATTCGCCACTAAAAAGTGCATTTCTACCTCTCACTGATGTAAATTGACCTACCATGGTCTCCTTAAAACTCAGCATATTTTTGGTTTTTCTTTCATGGTATCTTATTGTTTATCACATTTCTGAATGAATTCAATCTAAATACGCAACTGAATAAAGAGGAGATATGTAAGTAAAGGGAACACCAGTCATAACGATTAGTGTGGTGCTTGGATCTCACTTGATAGTCGCATTCTGAGGCCCGCCACCAAGGCCCAGGTTGTTATCATCATAATACACAGGTGGTTGTTGGTTGAATGATGTATTTCAGTTGACTTATTTTAACTTGTTTAGCTTTTGTGCTTTTTGCTTGTAATAATGTCAAATTAACGCTGTCTAGTTTTTTTTTTTTTTTTTTGGTATAAAGTGTCTTCATATGTTTGTCATAACAGTGAATGGAATTGTATTTCCTCCTTTTTGGGGCGATGTTGGCAGAGTAGTTAAGTGCCCACCTCGTAACCGGAGGGTTGCAGTTTTGAGCCCGTCTGTTCCTGCTGTTGTGTCCATGGGTAAGACACTTAACCTGCCTTGCCTGCTGATTGTGGTCAGAGGGACAGATGGTGCCTGTGGTTGGCAGCCTCGCCTCTGTCAGTGCGCCCCAGGGCAACTGTGGCTACTTCGTAGCTTATTGCCACCAGTGTGTGAATGGGTTGGTGACTGTTGGTGTTGTAAAGTGCCTTTGGGGGTTGCAAAATTCCTAGAAGGCAGGATATCAAATACAGGCCAGGTAACATGTTTTTACCTTTGCTCATATGTATTTATGACATGAAAAAGTATTATTTCTCTGTCCATATCCAGGGGAACATTCATGGTGTAAATATATAACTAATTTTTCTGCTTAGGTCCAGTAGTCTGAGCAGAAATCTCTAGACACCATCTCCCTAGCTCCCCAAGCTAACTTTTACAGGGACATTACAAAAACTCCAGTTAGTTGAGGTTCTTCCTGCTATCTTCTGGGTGTGAATTTAATTCCATCTAGGACAGAGACCTTGGGAATGATTTTTAGCCATGCTACATAAAATTATTTTAATATTTTTGTCAAGATTGTCAAATTTAAGAAAAAGGCATATTAGAAATTACATTTTAGTATTTGTATCCGGATTATACTCATGAATCTACATTTGCAGAAGTAGATACAGTAAATGTAACATTAACCTTGGTGGTGTGTTTGCTTCATAGCGGTTTATAACCAGCAGTTTGTTATTCTGCGAAAGTATCAGTGCAGCCAGTGACCTGCGGTGAATAGCTGTCGAAGAGCAGGGATTAAGTCTCCATCTGCGTTAATGGAGATTAATGTGGTGAACTGAGAGCCACTCAGTGCAGTGGCTCCACACGGCCTTGGTAATAAACACTTTACAGAGAGAGTTAAGAGCACTCTGACAGCAGCACCATTAGTGTCATGTTAATGACAGTGATGATGAGAGAAAGTAAGCTTAGACTTTACTGAAGAGGCGTTCTCAGCTTCCTTGCGGTTTCACTGTAAAAAATAAACCTTAAACTGAAGTTATGAGCTTCTACCTTTTGGGAATAGTTGATTCTGATTACCATGAAAATTCCTTGATTGACTTTATTATTGCACAAGAGGTACATGTTAGGTGACTATGGTTTTGCTTGCCTCTGTAATCACATCTGTCTGCTAAATAGCTCATGTATTACTGAATGGGCTTTAAAGAGCAAGTTCACTGAGAAACAGTTTTTTTTTTCTTTTCTTTTTTTTTGTTATTTTTGAAACATGATCGGTCACTTTGAGTTTCAGGTGCAGGCTAAATGTGAAAAAAGTCTTCTACCCTGATTTTTCTGCATTAGCTGCCGATAGAATATAGACAGGAAATGCTCGGATTAGAAAAGCTAGTCAGATCTACATCATGCTGAAAATTAGCATTCATGGACTCATCCATCTTGGCTCACGATGGGGAATGCTGTCGCTGATTTAGCGTCCAGGAAAGAGTAGAGCATGTCTCGGCTAGTAGAAGCTAACCATTAGCCTTAGCAACTAAACTACAAAGCCGAACTCCTTCAGGCATAGTCAATGTTAGAGTGACATTGCTGTTATTTAATCTGAGGCGAGATGTCAGAATATCAGGAAATAACACTTTAAATCCTGCCTTTTTGTGCTCCCCACTCCTCTGGTTAACTTGTATCTCCTGAAACACGAGTGTCAGAGCATTTTTCACAGAGATTGTCTTAAAAGTCATTCATATATAATAGAAGTCACTGCACATGTTTTGAAATAAATAATTGAACTTGGGCTTTAATGAAATCCACCAAATATCTTTGGTGGATATACATCTGCATGCTATTCAAGTGAGTGTGTATTTTTCCTGGCAATTGGAGGCAGTAGATACCTGTCATGATCCTGTTCCTGTCATGATCCTGTTCCTGCCTAAGACCTGTTGCCACAGCAGCCACAGCCCGCACCTCATCAAGCTCCAGCCAAGCTGTTTCCCCAGCAACCACAGTCAACTCACCATCCACATCATCCTACCACCTGTCTCTCATTAGCTCCTCATCAGCTCATCACATACACCTGCTCCTCCTGCTATATAACTCCCAGCCTGCTCTCCAACCGGTGCCAGATTATTGAACACGTTTCTGTTAGTAAATTCTCCAGCCTTTCACCCACCTTGACTCCACGGATCCGAACCTTGCCTCGTCCTCTGACCTGCCTGCTCCTCGTGCCCTCCTGTGATTACCGCTTTGCTCCCGACCACGTCTTTGGATTTCCCCTATTGGAGTTACTGCCCCTCTGACCTCCTGGCCCAGACCCTGCTCAGTCCTCGATCACGTCTCCGGATTCCCCTGTCGGATATTCAACCTCTCGGATCTTCTGGTAACGACCGCCTGTCTTCTGACCTAGCCTCTGCCTCTCCAGTCATCGCCCCTTTTCCCTCTTTAATAAACATTCTAAAACGTGTCATTCTGTGTTGGGTGTTTTTACGGGTCTGCCAGCTTGAGTTCATTACAGAATAATCTGGCCAACATGGACCCAAACCCAACATCAGAGTGGCGTGTTGGTGTGGAAACCGCCATCCACCAGCTGGAAAATAAAACGGAGGAGATGCTTAACCTGTTACGAGCTAACGCACAGACTTCTGCTTCCTGCTCTACGTTGGTTCCCGACAGTCAGCCCCGGGTTTCCCCTATGCACGAGCCGAAGTTGGTTCCGCCTGAAGTCTTCCGGGGTGAGTCAAAAACCTGCCGCGCTTTTTTGACTCAGTGTGAGATACAGTTTGAACTGCAGCCATCCTCCTTTCCTACGGAGCGGTCCCGTGTGGCTTATGTCATATCACTATTATCAGGACAAGCACGTGTTTGGGGAACTGGAGAATGGGCAAGAGATGCTGAGATCTGTTACAATTATAAGGATTTTGCCCGTGAGCTAATTCGAATCTTTGATCCTTTGCTACCTGGCAGAGAAGCTACCCGCCAGTTAATGACTTTAAAACAAAACAACAGAAGAGCCACAGACTATATTATTGATTTTCATGCCATTGCTGCTGTTAGTGATTGGAATGAGCCTGCTTTAATGGATATGTTTTACCAAGGACTCTCTGATAGTATCAAGAACGAGATGGCAACTCGTGATAATCCCAGAACCCTGGTGGAAATGGAGGACCTCGTCACCAGAATCGACCTCAGGCTGATGGAGTACCGGAAAGATCGCAACAGGGCTCCACCCAACAGGGCTCCACCTACTACCTACCGCTTTACCCAACAACCTTCATCCACGGAAATGCCACGTGCTGTAAGTCTCCCTCCAGCCCCCAGGAATCAGAGTGAGGAGCCCATGCAGATTGGCAGATCACAGTTATCTCCAGAGGAAAGGGTCAGACGCAGAAATAATAACCTCTGCTTCTATTGTGGCACGTCGGGTCATCAGGTTCGGAACTGTCCGTTAAAAGGTCAGGCCCAGTAGAAAACACGAGGTATCTGCGGGGTCGTATTAATCCTAAGCCCTCGTCCAGACCCCCAATTTCTGCGACTTTTTTCCATAAGAACCAGGAGAAAGAACTTCCAGTGTTTATCGATTCAGGAGCCGACACTGAGTTCATGGACTTTAATACTGCCAAATCCTTGGGGTTGGGACTCCACCCTGTAT